ATGTATATCGCTTTTATGATGCCGATATGTTATTCGATATCGCGCGCATAATTTATACGTTCCATCGCGAATACAGGCTTGTCGTTTTGCATGTTAATCGGCGCCTCGTGTTGTTACAACACCGTTTCTTCCTGTACACGGTGCCGTCGATGTAATCCACGAAACATGGAGAAGCAGGAACGCATTATCACGAGGAACTAAAGCGCAGCGGTCGTTCGCGGAAAGATATCACCAAGATAATTCCCCAAACCCGACGAAAATGACGGCCAAAGACGACGCGCGCAAGTTCACCTTATCGCGATACACCTTTCATCAGGAACGTATCTCGATCCGAAGCTATTTCCCGGCCGCGAACGGGAAGGGAATGCGACGAAGATTGTTACGTAAGGGACCTAAACGAAAGCTGGAGAGCGATTTGCGATACACGACAGATCAGGGTTGCAGCCCTTCGCGGAAGGGTGCAGCTCGACGAAGAGCGCGTACCAATAATTTCACGTGTTGTAAAACCATACGCGTCTACTTCATTTCTCCCGTTTATTACTCGCCGAATGTAAACGTAAAAATGGTATAAGAATTTGTAAACATAAATATAAAAAATTAAGTTATATCGTTCGTGTCACTTTCCTCGAGAATGCACACGGATCTTGTTGCTAAACTTTTTTCAAATTAGCACCGCGTGACGACAATTCTTCTTCATTCACATCTTGTCGTCGAGTGAGAGAAATAAGATCTCTTGATGAGGGTTCTCCGTGGGATCGTAAAAACGGCTATTCATTCTGCCTACTTCTCATTCCACAAACTACAGAAACCCGATGATGAGATATGAAAAAAATGAAAAGTGATATCCACGCTAACAGGAGACCATCATCATTGCGGAGTCTGCCGACGGAAAAAGGCCGGCGTTTTATCGTTTCTCTGAAATATCGGTTGTTTTGCATGCATCGGAATTATCGTCAGTCAACACACAATTAACGAACGCGATTAATAAATATCGCGAAACATTGTTTCCTAACGTGCGCGCGCGCGCGATTAAAACAACGAATAATACAGCGATATACAAATTTTTCTTCTCATCAAGGAAGAGAAATTTCGCAGTTTGATATTCGAAAAACAATCAAAATTTTTCTCAAGTGACTAATCGCACAAAATGTCAGATAACATTTGAAAACGTACAACGATTAAACAACGATAGAAAAATAGAAAATAGAAACATGTTATTGATAGCGTGTGCACAGAACAGTTGCGCGCATTGACGCGCGCCGGATTGAACATCCGTGCGCATCCGTGTGGCCTTCGTGTGTTCGCCGATAAAATTCCCGACGTCATAATGACGGCAATTAGTTTCGCTCCATTGAGTTCTAAATGCGGAGACTCGGTCATCAGGGATGCAGAGCGCGCGAGGAGGCTTCGAAGGATCTTCGGCGGCTTCGTCAGGGCTAGGAATCGCACACACACACAGACCGGGTTCTCCTGCGGTTTCATCCTACTATCCTGGCCGCTGTCGCCGTCTTTCTTATTAATATGCTAATTTTGCACGAGCGTCGGACCGCGATTATAAACGGAGAACGAAACCGCAGCTGAAACCGCCGCCAATCGCCGTCGACGTTGTCCAGGGTGTTACATCGTTTACAGCCACGTGTAATACGAAACACCTGCGATCAGGAAAGCATACGGCTATGCAAAGTAGACGTATATATCCCTCAGGAGTCACACCTTCGATTTAAAAAGATATCGTGACGATGAATTGAGAATCGCATCCTCGTTGGTCTTGTTTGAGAGAGAGAGACGTTCTCGTTTGCGCGTGGTCTCATCATCGTAACGTCGAGAACTATAGTTGCAATTTTTGCTGTTGTTTATATTTTCCATGTGCTTCTTTTGTTATTTATCTTTTTCTCCTTTCTTTTAATTTTGAGCTCTACTCCGTGCGATTCAGTTTATATATTTATCTTGCATTAGAATGTTTCTCAAGTGTGTTTGGCTACAGTGTGTGTGCGAATTCGCGTTGAAGTGTAATATATAGTTCAGCATCGAATCCCGCATGCACCTTGCCCGTGTGAATGAGGCATGCGCAAGTTCAATTTCCATCATCGACCAGTGCCTGCGCACCCTTCAGAAACTACGTACGCGAGTATCCGAAGGGTGCGCTCGTCCCTGAAGACGGTTCCAGAAAGATCGGGAGCACATCAGGCCACAGGATCGCTCATGAGTGCCTAATCGGCCGCCCTTTGTTAATCCCCCGGAGGGTAAAAAGATTTGCCGCTCCAGCGGCTTTGAAAGAAAGTGGGACTGCGAGCCGATCAGGAGTGCACGAGAAGACGGAGGCGGTACGATTAAACGCGCTAAGACGTCGTCGCCATGGGTTCGCTCACTTTTGACTATGGCTTCCCGAAGATGATATTGTACTTCTCACGTGAACAAAGTCCGAACAAAGCACAGACGTTTTATTAGACACGTCTAAAGCGCTCGTCGAGAGAACGACACGTTCTCGAATATACTCGAAAAATACAGAGTGTGCAGTGTATTTTACTTTTTTATTATTTTCATAAAGAATCATATCATATTCCAGGACGATAAAAAAAGAAATAGATTTTTTTGATAATTTATTACTGGATAATTGAATAATAAATGAGCATTTACATTAGACGCAATCGTTCACGTAGAAAATTTCTCGTCTCCGATAGAATTTCAATACGACCGTACACAGAAGAAACAAATGACAATTGCGACAGAGAAATATATACACACGTCCGCGCATTTCCGTCTATGGTGCCATCGTTGTTCTCATCCCGCGTGCAAGATGACGACGCGGAATCTCGCCTCGTCATCGGGCCGTATCGGCAGCCATTTGATACCAAACTCAGACTGCGCTCCATCAGGGCAGCATGAACGCGCGTCATTTCTCACGTGCGCATCTCGCGTCGCGAAATCGCGCGCGCGGGGGCCACCGAACGATTAGTCACGCTCGAGCAGGTTCGAACGAATTTCGTCCTGGTTTCCAAGGATACTATAAAAAGCACGGCGGTCCTTACGAGAGAAAGACGGCAAGAAAGACTCGTCTCTCCTTTCAGTCCGAAGATGATGACACTCGCCCTCCGTCTCCGCGCGCACCCACTCACCTTTTCGCGCGCATGATGCTCGTGCAAACGGTATCGAATCCACGTCCGATTGGATTTATACGAGCCTAGCGCGAGTTTCGCGCTAGGCCGGTCGAACGGATGCTATTGACCGCGCGCTTATTCACTTTTTACAAGCGGAAGGAACTGAACCGGGCGGCGCATGCGATTAGGAGTATATAAGACGAGTGCGAGAGAGTGGTCGGCGGCCTCGTGAGAACGACCGCGAGCCAGGTGCTCCCGAGGACGCCTGCGCCAAAGTTGAGGCGTCCTGGCCTCACATGATCAGGAGATCATCTCGGCGAGACCGAGTCGGACAGTTGCACAGCTACGCGACACAGGGAACAGGAAACGAGTAGGCGTGAGTTATGACGATGACTCTACGCGCCGGGCTGAATAGTTTTCGCGTTCCGAACCCTCATGCGTCCACTTGAAAGCGGGTCTAGCTTGGGACAAACGTGAGGGCTAAATGCCAAAAGCAGCGAATAGATAAACAACCTTATGGGGATCTTAGAAGCGGGCAGAAGGTCGAACGCGTGCTAGAGCCGCCCTACACCGAGACCGAGAGAGACAGAAAGAGAGAGAAAGAGAGAGAAAGAGAGCTAAGGGCCAGCTCTTGTTGCCTTTTATGAGATTACTTGCGTTAGGCCTGTAAGAAAGGGTTGATACACAGGTACAAAGTAGACAATTTTTGTATGAAAATATCAAAAATCAAAACTACAGCAAATTAACAAAAGAAAATCAATACGTGTCGCATAACGTGCTTACAACAATTATAAACAAGAAATTTATGTCAAATAAAAGTCGTTTTAATAAAAATGATTAATCGAATACAAATTATTTTTAAAAAATAACAATAAATTACTCATTGAAGATTATCAAGCTTGTAAATTTTTACAAAACAACTGAGAGAGACTGTGCGCATCGGGAAGAAAGTAAACGTGATCGATCGACTCCGTTCGATAGGCTCTCTCGTCTTTTTTTTTTCTCTTTTTTCGCGCAAAGAGGAATTTATAGAAAACCGTTCGGATAACAGGTTATGAATTATGAAGTTAATTAATACCGAGCCGCGACTCGCGCCTGAGAAAATTCTAAAGGCGTTTGTGCGACACGGCAAAATCGCGTTGGCCGCGTATTTATTAGAAAGGATTGGGAAGGCAATCAAGCCGCCGCGGAGCGCGCGAACCGGAAGGAAATTCCTGGCCGCGGTGCTACACGGACCGCGCGATCTGAAACTGAATTGCGTTCCCGAAGAGGCGGTTCGGCCAACGCAGGTTTCTCTCAAATTACTTCGAAGTGCTTTGACTTGAGAGTCAAAGATATTTCTCTCACATGATGTTCGTTAACGTTCGCGTTTGTTCTTTTCTGAGAAAATTCTTCGCGCTCTTCAATTAGAATCGCGCGACTCTCTTCTCCGTGTGTTTCGTTTCACCGCAAATTGAATACACTGCTACTTCCTGCTCGCCACGCGGAACTGCGGACATGTGGCAATAGACGTTGTGGTATTAAGACCACGTATTTGCGAGGCAAATATCAACCCGTCGGTGAACCCTGACGCCGCGCATTATGCGTCATAATGTCGCCGGCATATCGACATTTGTCCCGATCTCGATGGAAATTCACGACGCCTCGTGAAAATCTCGCTTTCACTCGAGAACCGAGCGATTCGCGATCCGAGCACGCGCTCGGTGAGGTCGAAGGTCAAAAAGTCCGCGACTGAAATTCAGACGCTTTCTCCGCTCGCTCGTTCGGCATCCGCGTGTCGCTCGTTCTCCGCTCTCATGATTCTTCGCGCTTAAATGCTACCTTTTTTTTTTCTTTCTCTTCCCTTCTCTTCGAAAAGGTTCGCGTGGACGTGCGTTTCTGCGGACTGAACGGGATCGACGTGCTGCTGTGGCGCGGCGAGCACCGCGCGGTTCCGAAATCGGTCACAATCCTTGGTTTCGAGGTGTCCGGGAACATTCTGGAGATGGGCGGACTGGCACACGAGCGAACAGGCTATCAGATAACCGAGGAGGTCGTCGTGCACAATTATCCCGTCTGTGGCGGTCTGGCCGAAAGCTGTCTGGCTCATTACAGAGTAATTACAAAGCGCATTCCTTTCCGAAAGTAGAGCGTCTGACTTGTTCTCTCTTTCAGACACAATAGATATTCTCGCACAAGATTCGCGAATATTATCGATCGGTTTCGTCGGGAGAGTAATCGAGTCGATTGTAAATGTTAGGACGTGTTTAGATTAATGAGACGAGTGTGCGCGAAGAACGCGGCGGCCGTCACGGACGATTATTTCTCGGCGTTGCTAACGATGGGCCGTCGGGCTCGCCTTCAGACGGGCGAGTACTTTCTCATCAACGCCGAGCGTTCGAGTTCTGCCCTGGCTGTCATCGATCTTGCCGCCGGAGTGTTCGGAGCGAAGGTATTTTCTCTTCGCGATACGGAAAGAAAATAAAAAATTGCGCGATGAATTTCTCTTTGTCGGAAAATGCGTTTTGATCAATGTGTAATTAAATACGTTCAGACATTTTCAACATTTTGAGAATGTTGGCGCCGTAAATAATAATAATAATTTTATTTATCGGAATGCACAGATTTCTCTCTCGCGTTTTAGCCAATTGCTGTGTGCAGCGACGCCAGACAAGCTAAGCTGTATACGGATCTTGGCGCAGCGGTGATACGCAATGGCAACAGACAACGTTTGCCGTGCGAAGTAAAAGAAATCAGCGGCAAGGAAGAAGTGCGCGTGATAATCGACACCGAGAACGGATCGAGCTTTCGAAGCATCATCGAATGGTACCGAAAGCAAACTTGACAATTGAATCAAACCAACTTGTCCGAGAAAACTCTCTGTTTACACAATAGTCCCTTTTATCTCGCAAGAAGTATGTTAGTGAAATCGGAAAGTCGCTTGTTAAAATTAATAAAACAAAATTTTATACGCGTTGTTCCAGATAAAAATTGTGACTTTCTATCGATACATTACCGCGCGCAAACTGTGCGACATCCAGTAACATGAAAGTCTATCGCGACATCTGATATTGTGTCACGCATAGATATGTATTGTTTTTTTTTTTTTTTTTTTCAGTTTGGAGACTGACGGTCTGGTTGCTTTTCTCGGTTCCGCTCGGAACAGGCGATGTTCCAAGTTTTATCCCGCGTTGTCGAATTACACGGTGTTCGCGGTCTCCGCGGAACATTACAAAGTTGCCGACACGTTGGTGTACAGGTTTGACAAAATGCGACAGACACGGCTGAATTAATCGCGCGTGTCAATACAAATTATTAATCAGTCTGTGGGATTATATAACGTTTTTTTATTTTTCAGAGAAACTATCGAACATCTATTGGATTATCAGTCGGAATGCGCAATTCGTCCTCGCATCTCCGCAATTTTCGGCCTGCATCGTATTAACGACGCGTTCGAATACTGCACTACACTGCCAAGTGGAAAAGTATTGATTGATATGAAGGATCGCGATAGACTGACTATATTTGACGTGTGTGATAACAATGGATTGTAAACGTGGATTGTAAATCTTGCGGAAGACTGGAAAATAAAATTGTTCACAGTAAATCGATTTTCGATTAGTCACAAGAACATCGACATCATCAAGCGTTTGATTCGCATCAATGTGCTAAATGTATTAACATAAATATAACTGTACGTAAAATGTTAAGTTACAAAAATGACATAAATCTAACACATTAAAATGTTATAAAAATAATATATCAATTGTTGTTGTATGTGCTGCGTGTTACCATTGATTGATAATTAAGAGATTCTACACGTAAACATTTTCTATTCTGACAGCAATAGATAAAGTAGATTCCAATGTGGTAAAAATATTTAAAAAAGATTTGAATAAAAATATGTAACTTTGCTAAAGTCAACTGTGCAAAAAGAGAGCAAATTGAGATTTTCTCGAGACAATGTAACAACACGCACATCACGTATGTAATCATTTTACTTCGTCTCTCGCGTTCAGCGAGATGACCACTTGGCCGCGAGGTGGCAGCAGGCAGCGCAAAAGCGCGTGCATCAGGCGCGGCGATGCACCTTTTGCGGCCGGCGCAGGCCGAAAGTGGCAGCGCGTGTCAGCCTTCGGTTCTGTGTGTCGTGTTCTCACGAAATTTTCCCACGTCTCCGGGCTATCGCGAGTGCGTGTGTTGTCATCTTCGACGATCCCGGCGCGTCCGCGATACGTAACTCTTGTCGCGAGTACTTGTCGTTCGCTTTATCCGCTCTGGTCGCAGACGGGTAATCGTTATCGCGAGTGTCGCGGGGTATCGCGGTGTATCGCGTCGCCGCCGCTCCTTCTCGTGCACGCGGCGACAGGCCGGCGGTGACGATTCGCGAAATTAAACATACGCGCGCGTGCCGCAGAAAAAGAGAAAGGGAGGGAGAAAGAACGAGCGTGTTATTCGCGCGGAAGAGCAAAAGACAGAGAGAGAAAAGAGGAGCGCGAGACGCGAGGGACGTTTAACGTCATTGCACGGCGAAGCCGCGACTCGTCGAATGAATTGTGTCGCAACAACTCTTCCGACGGTTTTCTTCTCGCTTCTCTCTCGTCGTCGACGTTGTCGTCGTGTAACTCTCGCGTCCTCTCCCGTCGCCATCGCTCGCGCCGACCTTCTCTCCGCGACACAACGGCGCGACGTACACGGCCCGGGTTAGTTACATGCAACCTGTTGTTTTCTCCCGCAACGCGCTTCTCCGCTGACACGCAGCCGTGCTGACGAGCGGCGGCGGTGCTTTGCGAGCTGCGACGACGTGCGACAGCCGACGTGCTGGCGGCCGACCTAACCTCGCGCCCATCCCGAGAAGAATCGCGCTGGCTCGTCGACGCTGGGAGTTGACGGCAGTATGAACGGGTGAGTCCGCAATAGATTTATAAATGAACACATATCGTCCTCTTGGTCGCGATCTAATGTCGCAAGACCGTGCGAGAAAAAGAGAGAGAGAGAGAGAAAAAGAGCAAAACAGCGAGAAGGTAAAAGACACAGTGAGGTGGGGGAGAAAATGACAGATAAATGCGCGCGTGAGTAGGACAAAGAGAGAGAGAGAGAGTGTAACGATGTGAGAATGCTGGATTGCACGAAGAAAAAGAGGAAACGTAACATCGATTTACGATTGTTCGTAGAGCGAGGAAGGTTATCGGTCGCGAGGCAGAAAGAAAGAGCGAGACCGAGCGAACTGGAAGGCATGAACGAGCTTTTCTTTGTCACGTGTCGTTTCTCTCTCACTCTCGCACCAGTCTTAAATTCGTGAAAGGTGCACGTGCGTAGCTTGGCGTCCAGCTGCGTCGCAATCGCGTGTAGTGTGTGTGATTTCGCGAGCGAGATGAAAAGAGAAAAATCGACATTAAAAAAAAAAAAAATGAAGAATCGAGCGGCGTCAGATTCTTTCGCATCCTCGCGCGATTCGATTTGATCGCTCCTTTTGCCGTTTAAATGTGTGCGAAAATTTTAATTTATTATTAAATTAATTATTCTCGCAAAGTATACAGGCAACGATATTTTCCGGCGCAAAGTCGTTCCCGGGACTTGTAGAACGGAAATTGGAAGCGTATATTATGAAATATATATCGCGATAGAGAGAGAGCGGTATATTTATGCGCCGGATGGAAAGTCCGAGCTTTTAGTTCGTGTTTATGAAACTGCTTGCTTTCCCGCACATTTTATGAATAATATTCGATTACACCGCGCGCAACAGTATTCAATATGCCGGGCGTTTATTCCGTGCCGCTGGCCTTCAATGCGTTTTGTCCGACAAGCGAGTGCGCTTCCGTAACCCATTTTACTTAAATTTCACCACGAACGCACCGTGTGAAATACCGTGTTTTGCAACATTTCTGACAAATTCGCAGAAAACGGAGATTGCTTCTCTCTGGGTCTCGTTTTCCGGCGTTTTCCGATCTTCAGAGTTTTCTTGCTGCGATGTGTTTGAAAAAGCGGTGAAAGATCGCACGTTGATGTTTCGCGCGCACATTAGGGTTGTTAAGTAGGAAAATCGCGAAAGAGAATAAACGCACAAACCGAGAGGAAAAACCATCGGGAATTCGTTAACGAACGCGCGTTTTCTATTACGATTTTCACATTCACGAAAAATACCAGGATTTTCGATTACACTCGCGTTTGATTACAACTCGCGTCTCGTCCGTTCCGATTTTTCAATTTCGAGGACCGTCGGGGAGGGTTTTAAAACTCTATTGTAGCTGCACTAATGAAAAGCTTATTGTTCGAAAGAACAACAAGGCGCATATATATCGCACGCGCGTGAATATACGATTAATACGGACGAATCCCGAATAATTTTTTTTTTTTTCCAAACAATTTATCGAATTTCGCTTGTCGCGTTTAATACTTTAATTCCTTCGCTCGCAGAAAATAATCTCGCAATTCTACGATACGCAACGGTAATTCTGGGGCGAGAAAATTTTGCACTGCAGTACCGATATCTCTCTCTCTCTTTCTCTTGCGTAAAACTTTCACGTAATAATTTCGACCTATATAGAATCGACTCTCCCATTGCTGCGCGTTTCTATCGCGAATCCGTTTCGAATACGCAGTTTTTTTCGCGCCTCTCACGTATTCGCGCACGTGCGTCGCGCCGTTACCCTTCGGTCGGTATTCGGCCGCGCGTGGTAACTTCCAACGCGCCGACAAACGGGTGAGTTTTATCAACCCACGGTCACGTCAAATTCGATCACACGCCGCTGGTCTCCGTTCGCCCGCATCTAATATCGTCGGACGATAAAATCCCGATCCTTTTCCCACGGCGGAAAATTTGTTTCGCGGAAACTCTTTGATCGCGAGTAAGTTAGCGAGACGGTGATCGAACGCGCTTTTAATTTAATTAAATCGACTCAATTCGTCGGCGTGACGATGACTCACGCGTCGGATGATAAATTAAAACGCCGCGCCTTCATCGTCGTTAAGAGCTTTTAACCGTACACGTGGCGGCGACCGCTGCACTCGTTTCGCACATGCGGTCTAAGCCGGAATTAGATTCTCCGGTAAGCTCCCCGAGAGAGAGAAAACATATGCAATAAGATGTTGCGAGCCTCGTGTTGGCAAGTGGACGATTCGCTTCATCGGATTCGTGGATTCGCGCCAGAAACTGTGATTTACACTCGGAAGGGAGAAGAACCACGCGGTGTCGGCGATTCGCTTCATCGGATTCGTTTCAAACGGCGTCTTATGCAGTTTTCGTACACGTTTTTCTTCTTGCCGACGTCTCGCTGGCGATGTACCCGCGACTGTATTCAAAAAGCGGAAAATCCTGAAACGCGGGATCAAACCGTACGCGCGACAGATTTACACACACATACGTTGCGCAAACGTCACGTCGTTGTCGAACAGATTTTTCACGAGTTATCTACTCATATTTCCGCGCGAGAACTTTTTCGCGCGCGACAACCGAAATTTGCCGCGAACTGTATTTGCGATTCCTATAGAATCGCGTCACACAGTGGAACTCACATTTTCGTACTCGAAATGGCATGCAAAAATGCGCAACCGAATGTGTTCGCGGAAACGTTTCGCACGCGTGGAAGACCTCCAGGACCCTCTCTCCCTCTCTCTCTCTTTCTCGTGCATTATGGATTGGCACTTCGCCGATGAGTCGCTGATAATACTCTTTACACTGTCGATACAATCGAGGTCGCGCGTTCTTTTTTCCTTTGTTACACGAGAGCATTGCACTCCCGCGCGGTTTTACACGCCTCCGATTCAATATTTTTCATGGCTTTTTTGTGGATATTTAATTTATTAAAAATCAGAATAACGAAATCTTCATTTTGCGATGTAAAAGCCTCGGGATATGATAAACCGATTAAAACGCACACGTCGTCTATATTTTGTCTGTTGAATCATCATTCAAGACGTATGGGGGATAACGTATGAAGTGTATATATACGTATATGGTATGCAATCTCTTCCGAGAATCGTATCTGCGACGTTGCGTATTGAAAGCGCATATCGTCTATTCATATCAATCTTGTGTACACGCGCAATGACACCAACGTCATTAACGTACACACACGCGGACTGAATGCAAGGCGGAGGTTTACCGCGGTCTATCTTTGATATTATGTTTCACTACGTGGTGGTCGTTGAGAGGCTTGATGGCAGTGCTTAATCAGATGATTCGCGGAAATTACCAGATACCGGAGATCTTATTAATTTGCACGACGTTGAAACACACCGCGCAGCAGCAAATTTCTCGCGTTCGTACATCCGGCTTTTGAAATACCGACAATAAAATTTGTATTCACAAAACGAGCCACCGTGAATCGACTACTGGTAAAATTCTTTCAAAGATGGTAGAAACCGATCGGCGTCTTCCGTACACGTCAACCACAAGTCGAAGACACAGGTGGAAAAGAAAAAAAACGTCGTAAATTTTTTCTCTGCGTATATTTTTTCTACTTTCCGAACCTGTTTCGAGTTCAATACACCGCTGTTGAAACTGAGCGCGGCCATCTAATTTAAAATCTGATTAAAGCCACACGGATCGCGC